CAATCCCTGAGCCACGGACCGGTATCGGTCTGTGAGTCATTTGGTACCGGGCCGCCAGAGTTGAGGCTCGGATGTGAAATTCATGGTTTTCAGGGGTTTTATCGTTAACTCTGTTTCCTTGGGTCTTTTCCCGTGTTGTAGTTGTGTATCTTATCTTATCATATTATATACATTTGTACTTATGTAAATATGTATATTTTTATAGTTTTTCAAGTCATTACAGTGCAATACTTTGCACGATTATGGATATACTTATAAGCACAAACACATGGCTGTTATACCTGTTACACTTTTTTATATATATTATACAGGATATTATACACTTTTACATTTTTATATATGATTCTTACTCCTGTTTTTTTTTTTCTCTTAGTTTAGGTAAAAGTTTTTCTAGTATGTTTCTCACAGTCGGGGGGAGTATTTTTAGTATTTTTTAGCCAGGAAAAACATTTCACTGTATGTTGTACTAGCTATAACTACATGTGACAAATAAATAAAGAATGAAGAATGAATGAATGTCTTATTTTGAAATAAATATTTGCGCGTTACCATAGCGACCAGAGAGCATTAAGGGGCAGAGAGGAGGATGTTACTCTCAATGTTGTTGGCGCATTTCAGGAGGACGCTGCTAATAAAGTTACACAATTACACAGTGAATTTGTGTTTATTATTATATTTACAAAATGCAACAGTTTTTGTCTTGGTCGTATCATTTTGTTTTGTTGTATTTATCCACGACACCTTAATGGCCGGTCTGTGAAAATATTGTCTGACATTAAACTGGTCCGTGGTGCAAAAAAGGTTGGGGACCGCTGCTCTAGAATACTTGACTGCAACATCATGACTCAGTGATGAATCAATAAGTGAAGGTAGCACATCTTTACAGTTAGTGACATTTTTGCCTGTGTTCCTCTTTCTGGTTTAAATCAGTGAAGTTACTGAAAACCAGCAATCTGACATTACTGGCTGCATAGAAATACATGGAAGGTAAGTGAAGAGCACATCTAATTGGTGGGATTATTGGAAAACAAACAAGCCCGGTATATGTTGTTGTCAAAAATTCAGTTTATCGTTAATGTGAATGCAGTTTAAGCATTACCTAGTGGATTAAGTGGAGAGCTACAGGGAGTGCAGAATTATTAGGCAAGTTGTATTTTTGAGGAATAATTTTATTATTGAACAACAACCATGTTCTCAATGAACCCAAAAAAACTCATTAATATCAAAGCTGAATGTTTTTGGAAGTAGTTTTTAGTTTGTTTTTAGTTTTAGCTATTTTAGGGGGATATCTGTGTGTGCAGGTGACTATTACTGTGCATAATTATTAGGCAACTTAACAAAAAACAAATATATACCCATTTCAATTATTTATTTTTACCAGTGAAACCAATATAACATCTCCACATTCACAAATATACATTTCTGACATTCAAAAACAAAACAAAAACAAATCAGCGACCAATATAGCCACCTTTCTTTGCAAGGACACTCAAAAGCCTGCCATCCATGGATTCTGTCAGTGTTTTGATCTGTTCACCATCAACATTGCGTGCAGCAGCAACCACAGCCTCCCAGACACTGTTCAGAGAGGTGTACTGTTTTCCCTCCTTGTAAATCTCACATTTGATGATGGACCACAGGTTCTCAATGGGGTTCAGATCAGGTGAACAAGGAGGCCATGTCATTAGTTTTTCTTCTTTTATACCCTTTCTTGCCAGCCACGCTGTGGAGTACTTGGACGCGTGTGATGGAGCATTGTCCTGCATGAAAATCATGTTTTTCTTGAAGGATGCAGACTTCTTCCTGTACCACTGCTTGAAGAAGGTGTCTTCCAGAAACTGGCAGTAGGACTGGGAGTTGAGCTTGACTCCATCCTCAACCCGAAAAGGCCCCACAAGCTCATCTTTGATGATACCAGCCCAAACCAGTACTCCACCTCCACCTTGCTGGCGTCTGAGTCGGACTGGAGCTCTCTGCCCTTTACCAATCCAGCCACGGGCCCATCCATCTGGCCCATCAAGACTCATCTCATTTCATCAGTCCATAAAACCTTAGAAAAACCAGTCTTGAGATATTTCTTGGCCCAGTCTTGACGTTTCAGCTTGTGTGTCTTGTTCAGTGGTGGTCGTCTTTCAGCCTTTCTTACCTTGGCCATGTCTCTGAGTATTGCACACCTTGTGCTTTTGGGCACTCCAGTGATGTTGCAGCTCTGAAATATGGCCAAACTGGTGGCAAGTGGCATCTTGGCAGCTGCACGCTTGACTTTTCTCAGTTCATGGGCAGTTATTTTGCGCCTTGGTTTTTCCACACGCTTCTTGCGACCCTGTTGACTATTTTGAATGAAACGCTTGATTGTTCGATGATCACGCTTCAGAAGCTTTGCAATTTTGAGACTGCTGCATCCCTCTGCAAGATATCTCACTATTTTTGACTTTTCTGAGCCTGTCAAGTCCTTCTTTTGACCCATTTTGCCAAAGGAAAGGAAGTTGCCTAATAATTATGCACACCTGATATAGGGTGTTGATGTCATTAGACCACACCCCTTCTCATTACAGAGTTGCGCATCACCTAAAATGCTTAATTGGTAGTAGGCTTTCGAGCCTATACAGCTTGGAGTACGACAACATGCATGAAGAGGATGATGTGGACAAAATACTCATTTGCCTAAAAATTATGCACTCCGTGTAGAAATAGTTTGACTTGTCCTCAACACAGAACTCAGGTTCTTGACCTTGTTTCCTGAAAAGGAGCTGGACTCTGGTCCATTCTGAAGTTGTATGTTGGGGTTTTCCTTGGTGGACTAAAGGGTTTCTTTCCTTCACCTTCAGCTTGGGGATGACATGTTAACTCTTCTTTGCATGACGCTGCAGAGGACACAGCTTTACGGGACTCCTTTCTTTGGTGGATTCTTGCCAGAGATTTCTTCCTGTTAAAAGCAAGTCTTTTTGAGTCATTAGAACTGTGGTACTATCTCTCGGGCACTAAGGTGAAGAGAGGACTGGAGTCTTAATGAGTTTGTGGAACTCCCGAAGCAGCTGATGGGAACCATTAGGCCAAGTGGAGTGTGGCTCAGGCAGTGGCTGAAGTAAAAACTCAAGTCTGAGAGGAATTTGGTGAGGTTGTGGATCAAGACTTTAGGTGAACATGATTACGGCAATGAGGCAACTCAGGAAGGGTTAACAGCACTCCCTCCTTAAGCGCTTATCAGCAATGTCAATAGCATTGTTTAGCCAAATCCAATATTCCATCAGTGCTTAGTATTGTTGTGGTTTGATGTTTTGGAAGTCAGCATGGGGGAGTTGGTGAATTCACTAAAGTGCTGTTTCAGGATGTCAGGAATCATCAGGAGTCTGGATGTGTTCAATTCAAATGTCCTTATCTAGTCTGATGGTGAAGACTAACATCTCTTGTGACTGCTGTTCTGTTGGTTTTATGTTTCACAATATACTGTTCTGTCATTTTTACTAATAAATGAATGGATCATTGCTGTGAACCCAGACAACTGGTCGCTCCTTAATCTCATGACCAGGGTTACCTGAATACAAATCCTCCCCACTTTTGGTGTCTGAACCACATTACATGTCCCTAATTCTAACTAAATGTTAACTAAAATATGGATATGCTTTAAACTAATGTTATGAAAGTCCAATTCTCAATCGCAATGTTGGACAAAACATCAGTGCTGAAAACTAGCCAGTTTCATTACTGATCAATTACAAATTATTTAGAGGATAGCAAGGAAACTGTTGCTAGTAGGTCAACATCGACCATATGACCTGCTATAAAGTGCTGGATTCAGATGGATAATCTTAGAAAAAGTCCAGAGTTGGATACATGCACATATCTTCAATTTTTATCCATGTAGTAAACGTCTATATTCAAAGAGCCTCTCCGCCATCATTCTGACATCTATACCTTTTACAGAATACTTCAGTATTTTATGGGGAATAGCAAATATTGCCCAAATCTATTATAGTATGGTTATAAGTGAAAATTTATATTTCTGACCATTTTATCACTGCAATCTCAAAAGGTCGTATATGTCCTGTTGGAAATTTGCCTTAAAATTACTGTGATGTAGTATTCACACAGAGATGCTGTGCTGAACACTGACTGATGTTAGTTAGTCTTGCCACCAGGTCTCAGTGACTGGTGCTAGAGGTCATTTTGATATGTTGTTACACTGATTCAGTCAGCTCAGTTTACAATTAACTGCTTATAACAAGCCTTTGTGATGGCGGCTATGCTTAAAAAAACTAAATGAAATGGGGGAGCCTGCATTCTGACAGAGTGTGCTTGAAGACATCGCTGAAGCAGTATGAATGATGTTTTACTCTGACGGTCATCATACCGTCATCTGCTGGATATTACATAGGTTAAACATGCGGGAAGGGGAGGAGCTTTGACAGTTGATACTAAAACACGTCTAATATTTAAAATGCTCACAAAGATCATAATAATACCAGAAATGAAGCAGCGTGTCTAGAATTTTGTGTGAAGACTGCAGAACTGTTCTTACAGCCACATCCATGTTTCTATGTTGTTTTTATGGTAATGTGATGTAGAGCATATTTAAAATGTACTTATTTGCATGCCATTGCTGTTATAGTTTACATTAGAATTGCTTTAAATGCTGATGTTCACATTCTTGGATAGTGCATCCAGACCACGACACTCGAGGACGAAAAGACAAACTACTTGCTCCTGATGAATGTAGTGTGTGTGTGTGTGTGTGTGTGTGTGTGTGTGTGTGTGTGTGTGTGTGTGAGAGAGAGAATGTTGGCTAGAAAGCACTTAGGCATGTCTGTATGAAGGTGTATTAGTGGGTGTACGAGGCTTGTTGTCATATAAAGCGCTTCGAGTGCTCGAGCAGAATAGAAAAGCAGGGTATAAGAACCAGCCTATCATGTACCATTTAAGACATGGTGAGATATGTAAACTATCGTATACGATAAAGATTTTCTCTTTCTCAAAAAATGTGTGCTCCTCTGCTTCACTAGGAGTTTCTTTTGACCCAGCGGTTCCCCCAGTGAAGCCCACCCCCAGGCCCTTCCTGACACAGGGATACCATGGGACCCCCTCCGGTTTACTTTTCCAGCCTCCTCTTCCTCTCGTTCCTCCTCCTGTGCCACGCCGGGACCTCCTTCAAGCCCCAGGTTGTGGAGCGAGCATCTGGCCCTGAGCTGCCGCAATCCTCTGGTAACACCTCAGGCTCTGGAAAACGGACGTGTTCTGACACTGTGGTTTGTAAACCCGGCATCCTGCTGCCGGTGTGGCTACCACTCAACCCTCCACTGGGGGAGCAGGCAGGGAGGGCAATCATCTATTTCCTCTGTCTCATGTACATGTTCCTGGGTGTGTCCATCATTGCAGACCGCTTCATGGCATCTATAGAAGTCATTACCTCGCAGGTATTATTGAACTTAAAATTGGGAATTAAAAAATGCAACCATTAATTTTTTTACTATCAGGGTTTTGTGTTTGCTCATAGTTGAAGAGTGTTTTGGCTCCTTTTTATCAGGAAAAGGCAAATTTTGTTTGCACTTTGAGCTTGCATTTTTTTAAATATCAAAGTAAAGTGCCAGTATATGTCGCCTTAGATGAATTAACAGATATGAGAATCAGGTAATAAAGAGAAACAGTTTTAAAATATTTACTATAAATTTTCAATTTTCAATCTTCAATTTAAAAAAATTATTTTATCACATTAACTCGTTGCCAAAACAAAAGTAGTTCTAGTATCAGGCCCACTGTGTTTGAAGCATCGACTGTAAGTATAAGATGGACAAAGCCACTGTCACCTCACCCATTGCTGCTGGATTCCACTTTTGAATCACAGTCTTAACTGCCGATGAGTAGTTTGTTTGTTTTTCTGGGAGCTAAAAATGGACGCTAAAGGTAGTAATCCTGGTTAGCAAGCTGTAGACATGCTCATCAGTGCTAAATAACAGGCTAGTTTAAATTTCAGTACCAAAACCAAAGCACAAATCTCTTGGCTGTTCTACAACTAGATAATTATTTTACAGATAATTCTATTAAATAAGTGGTGGCATACCTGTCGATCAAAGCAGCCAGACCCCTAAATTTATGCCTTACACAAATTAAATTACCACCCTCTTCCAAAAATGTTGGATCACCATGTAAATGTAAAAGCAGAATGCCTGATTTTGCAAATCCTATAAATTCACATTTTGTTCACAGCAGAATACAGTTTCATGCATAACCAGTAGAAACGTTTTAAACTTATTAGATGACCTAGCAACAGGTCAGTAACATGATTGGGTGTAGAAAAACTATTTTAGAGAAGCAGAGTTTAAATAAAGGTTTGCCAATCTGTTAAAAAAATAGAATATTGTTCAACATAAAATTGTGAAGGCTTTGAATATCCATCATCTTTAGTACCTAATATCATAAAAAGATTGATACATGTACACAAGGGATGGGGCCAAAAATCAGTACTGGATTCTTGTCTGTGGCAAAGCTTGTTTAAAATGGACCGTAGTAGACTCAAAAACTGTGATTAGAGTTTACATTTTACACAATGTAACAGCATTTTGAAATTAGAGAAGCAGTCCTCAGTGCAGTTATTATGAAGAGTAAAACTGTCAACAGTCAAATGAGCTGTTTTTTGTACCAGACCGTAAACAAGATTTCCAACCTGATGTATTTGGGCATTTCAAATATGTCTTAACTGAAATTAAGCATTTTGGGCATTTTCCCAAACTTCTGTGACTGCAGGAGAAAGTGGTGACCGTCACCAAACCCAACGGTGAAACCACAGTCGCAACGGTACGGATCTGGAATGAGACTGTATCCAACCTCACGCTCATGGCACTGGGCTCCTCCGCACCTGAGATCCTGCTTTCTGTTATTGAGGTGCACAATTTGCAGCAACATATGCGTAACCTATACAACAAATGCTGGAGCTGTATGTGCACTCGGAGTCTGTTTTGAATTCTAGTTGTTACGTGGCTCTTATTCGGTTCTAGTTAGCTTAACAAATGAGCTTTGATTGACTCTTTTTTTTCTCACTTTAACAGGTGTGTGGGCACAACTTCCATGCTGGGGAGATCGGCCCGGGCACCATAGTGGGCAGCGCTGCCTTCAATATGTTTGTGATAATTGGTCTGTGTGTGTGGGTGGTACCTGACGGAGAGTCTCGTAAGATCAAACACCTCCGGGTGTTTTTCATAACTGCTTTCTGGAGTATCTTTGCCTACATTTGGCTCTACCTCATACTGGCTGTCATCTCACCTGGGATTGTAGAGGTATGTTCTGATGGTTGCATACATTGTAACTGAAAAACATATGTACTTCTGGCCACAGTGCTATTGTTGATTTTTGGAAATGCAGCCTCTGCACTAAACACACTTTAAAAATGAGTATTTCTTTAAAGTTTGTGGTTTTATGAGATTATTTTCTTGAAAAAATGTGTTGTACTCATAAATATACAGTGACTAGTGTATTATTATTTCTTTCAACAAATTGAAAACTCACTGAAAATGCCATGTTGGCCCTTCACGTGGAATACGCAGGACCAGATGAATATGGCTAGAGACTGCCCGTACACCATAGGCCAGGCTTGGCCAACTCCAGGCCTCGAGGGCCGGTGTCCTGCAGGTTATAGAGCCTACCCTGGGTCAACACACCTGAATCAAATGATTAGTTCATTACCAGGCCTCTGGAGAACTTCAAAACATGTTGAGGAGGTAATTTAGCCATTTAAATCAGCTGTGTTGGATCAAGGACACATCTAAAACCTGCAGAACACCGGCCTTCGAGGCCTGGGTTTGGACACCACTGCCATAGGCGGAGGAGAAGAGGACTCGTAGGGGTTTGCATTCTGTGGAGGCAAACTTGTAGTTTGTGCCGCCACTTGCGGACAGGATCATACCCATATTTTTTCATCTAAGAAGGGGTCCCCTTTATGAAAAAACATAAATGCGAGTGGAATCTCCTGAAATGAATTCAAGTCTCCAACACATTTATTCCGGATATTATCACAGTTACCTTTTGTCAGCAGATTAGACATGCGACGCTTCTGACTCCGTACAGCTGACAACGGTCCAGCTAAACAACAATAACAGCTGGTTATAAGCCAGTATTACCCCAGCTAATGATAGACTAGATTATTACAAAAAGCACACGGGTTGGTTACATTCTCATATAATACAAGAGAATTCCCTAAATGTCCAAGTCAGCAACGGTAGATCCACTTCAAAGAAACTTCCACTCCCACTGGCTAAAAGCAGCTAGCAGTGGCAAAAACAGCAGTACTTATGGACGGAAGAGTTGAGGATATCTTCAACAACTCACTGCAGTATCCCTGTCGTCGGTCAGAAGTAAGCGTCATTGACTCATACGCTCACACTGGACTCTTTTTACACAGTTTTACAGCCTCCTCCAGAGGCGAGGTAAGGAGAGGTAAGAAAACAGGATTCAATTGACTTCAATCTGCAATCTGCTGAGATCTAGTGGTGAGAATTCACACCCCGCAGCTTTAAATATTAATGCATTGTTACTTTTATTTGTATGACATTAGTGCCATTTGTTTTCAAATGTTTGTTCAAATTTACTTTCTGCTAAATTTACTTTCTTTCATCAGAAAGTAATAATCATACCAATTCTACCAAATGTGGCAATCCTAACAATCTTATGCTCCTCTAAGCAGCAGATCTGAAAATATCTTTTTATAGCTTCCCTATGCCCATGTGCTTCGTTGGCATCAATTAGTTTGAAAGAACCTGAAATGTTAGTAAGAGGAAACTGTGGAAGACCTGAAAGATCAATAATACTGATAAAAACTACATCTCTGCATGGCAGAAGGGCAAAGCAAAGCATCACATGACTGAGCTGCAGACACAGAAGTGGTGGCTCACTGTTGCACTTTGCAGTGTTCATGTACGGACGACAGATTAGCAAGAAAACAAATATTTAAATCAACACCTGAATTCTGCTGTGGAGAACAAAGGGAAACGGTGGAAAATGTAAGTGGCAAGAATCTTCAAACAGATGCGGGGATCTTAAATACTGAATCTTACATGACATTCAAAATATTACGAGCTGTATTACAAGGTTTGGTAAATCCTCACTTGGTAACCCTTTGCACACCCACAGTCTGTATTTTTAGATGTTGTGTTTCTAAAACTCACCCAAACATCTAATTAGCTAAAAGGTATACACATACCTTTTATTCTATTTTTAATATATCAAATGAGTAACTGGTTATTTTTCATGTTGCCTGCATAATCAGGTGTGGGAGGCCATAGTGACGCTGCTGTATTTTCCGGTGTGTGTGATCTTGGCTTGGATCGCTGACCGCCGCCTACTCTTCTACAAATACATGCACAAGCGTTACCGTGCTGACAAGAGGCACGGCATCGTGGTGGAAATGGAAGGGGACCTTGCTCCCAAAGGCATTGACATGATCGTGGACGGAAAGCTGTCAGACAGCAGTCCATGCCCTGGAAACTCCTCCACTGTTACGGTCTCTGTGCAGACAGGCAATGAACTAGACCCGAACAAAGATGAGGTAAGACTCAGGCAAACGTGTTATTGAGCCACTCAGCCTGAAGGCTTTAAAAGAGCGTTTTTTTCTCCATTAATTTCAGGTTTAACATCTGTTTTGTTTTAGCTAATTAGAACTCTGCTCCCTGTAGGGGTCGGCGCAGCTGATCATCATCCTCTTTTCTCACCCTGTTTCTAGCACCAACCCTCAGCATGCCCCCCTTCACTACATCCATGAATCTCCTCTGTGGTCTTCTTTTTTTCCTCCTGCCTGGCAGCTACATCTTCAAAATCCTTTGTCCAATATATCCTTCTTTGCCTCTTCGGCACCTGTCCGAACCATCTCGACCTTGCCTCTAACTTTGTCTTCTAACCGCTTAGCCTGATCTGCCCCTCTGATATACATTTAGTTATGGCCAAATATCTCGTCAATGACATGAATGTCATGATAAGTTTATTTTTCTAGTGATTTCTTTGATCGGTTCTTTATCCAGACTGGAATAATTATACAGCATATATCTTGAATGACTGAAAAACAAGCATTGGGTTGCACAAGTTTGATTTTGTTTTACTTTAATCCACTCAGGGTCAAAACTTTGCTTGTATCCACACTAATGGTTAAATGTTCCTCAACAAGTTCCACCTCAACCAGGTACTTTTGGTAGCCATCAGCAAGCAACTGCCGTAATTCTGACTGGATATTTGACCAGTTTCAAGCAAAGTCAACAAATTTTGATTAGGATTGAGGCCGGAATTTTGGGGAGGCCGTTCCAGTAACCTGATGTTACCTTTGCTTACTTTACCCATTACAAAACCAGTTTTGATGTGTGCTTGGAATCATTATTCTATTCAAACACCCAACTGAGACCAGGTTTCAACTGTTTAGCTGTTGAATTAAGGTGAAGCTGAAGAATTTGGAGGCAGTCCTCAGTCTTCATTATTCCATCCACTTCATGCTTTGCTGCATGAACTGAATGTGATGCTGCCACAACAATTCTTGACCGCTAATACGATCTTCAGAAAGCCTTACCAATATATGTCTTGTCATTGTGACCAAATATCTCAATCTTTGTTTCATCTGACCATAAATTTTTGCCCAGAAAGCATTTGGCTTGTCCATGTGGGCAGCTGCACATTTTAGAGAAGGAGCATGGACTTCTTTCTTGGTCTGCAGCCTCTCAGTCTGTGGTGATGTCATGATGTCTTCTTCTAAATCGTGGCAAAGTGGTCCCACATCTAAATAATCTGCAGTTATGTACATTGTTTAAACTGGTTATCTTTGAGTACCAATGCTCCTCCCCTTAACCATGTTGAAAATTGCTCCAAAGCCAGATCTGTGCCGAGAAACCAACTAATTTAAGTGAACACTACAAATTCTTCCAAGAAGTGTGGCCAAAACTATGCTAACAGCTCGTTGATGGCAAACCCACTAAAATGTAGCCAAATATTAGTGGGGGTGTATGTATGTATTTTCATGTTCATGCTCATGATGAATGCATGTAAAGTTCTTACTGCTACTGCACACATTTCCAATCAGTTCATTTTTATTTAGAGCTCAGTGAGTTTATAAACAGTCATATTTAATGGTTACACTAGACATTAGTTTTTAGTTTAGTTTCACTTTATTAAAGATACGCATGGGTCCATAGCAAATAAAATAAATACAAAGTACATGTAATATTAAATAGTGGCAGTTCATTATCACGTTTCCTGAAGCAAATAAGATTTTATCTCAGTTGGAGTCTCAATAAGGGAATTGCAGAAGAGCAGACAGGTCGTCAAAGAAACAACGACATGTTGTGTCATCGCAAACTAAGATATTTATTTTCGTTCTGGTGTGAGCATCCCTCTTCACATCCTCACTGCAAACCCTGTCTGGATAGTTACAATAAAATCTCTTCTTGTAAGACACTGTTGAGCAAATAGTTTTTAAAGGGCGTTTTTACATAACATTAACACATATCTGTGTAAACACAAGACCTAGTCTGACTACTAGTTCTCCTGCTCTGATAGGTTGTCCGCATCTTGAAAGATCTTAAGGAGAAACACCCAGACAAAGATTTGGACCAGCTGATCGAGATGGCCAACTACTCTGCCCTGGTTCACCAGAAGAAGAGCCGTGCCTTCTACCGTGTCCAGGCGACTCGCATGATGATCGGTGCTGGTAACATATTAAAGAAACATGCTGTTGAGCATGCGCGACGTTCAGGCCACGAGACTGATAAGGCCACGTGCTCGCACATTTGTTTTGAAAGCTCCCAGTATCAGTGCACGGAGAACTGTGGCTCTCTGACTCTGGGGGTGATCCTCGATGGGGGAACTGGTCAGAATACATTCTATGTGGACTACTGTACAGAAAATGGTTCTGCCAATGCTGGAGCAGACTATGAATTTACTGAGGGAACCCTGGTGTTCAAACCAGGGGAGACCCACAAAGAAATCAAGGTAAGAAAGGAAAAAAAGCTAATGTTAGTGTCAGTGTTTAACGTTTATCGTCACTGTCAAGTGTCAAACACAAAAATTGTCCTGGAGAGGTGACCAGGAACCTAGATTTCTCCCCTATAGTTGTGGTGTCTGTCATCAGTGGGATCAAAGAATCTGTCATTCTGAGAATTTAATTGTAGTGAATGTTCAATAAAATGGTTAACAACCACGTGCATCTGGAAGGAATGTAACTTAAAATACTTTGCTCTCTCCAGGTGAGGATCCTGGATGATGACATCTTTGAAGAGGATGAGCATTTCTTTGTGCGCCTTCAGAACCTGAGGTTAGAGGAGGGTGGAAATGAAGGGATGGGGATTCCACCCAAAGGGAGACTAGTGGAGCCGCTGGTTGCTACGGTCACCATCTTGGACGACGATCATGCTGGCATCTTCACCTTTGAGCAGCACGTGCTGCGGGTGAGTGAGAGCACAGGCATCCTGACGCTGACTGTGTTGAGGAACTCGGGGTCCAGGGGCACAGTTGCTGTGCCGTACCATACGGAAGATGGCAGCGCCAAGGCAGGAGTGGACTACGAGGAGACCAGAGGGGAGCTGGAATTCACCAATGAACAGACCAGGTAAGGTATAGTAACATAGAGGCAATGACTGGGAGATAGGGGCACACTGTTAATCTAGCTATAAGCTGTCATTCCCGACATCTCTGCTTTGGCTCCTGTGCTAAAACTCAAGCCTATATTTATTTTTCACTTTAAGTCACACAAAGTGACAAATAAAAAAAGGTCTGCTTGAAATTTTTGCAATTTAATGAAAGTATTCACAGTCTTTGCTATGAGCCTATTCATTCACTATTGAGCTCAGGTGTGTCAAGTGGTAAATTCAGTTCATTGGACATTACCTATGCATGTTACATATATATAGGTGCAGATGTTTAAGAAGCAGAGACTATGTTGTATTTCTGAGTTTTTCTTCCTGTGTAAAATCACAGAACTGTTCTGTGTAGAAATAAGTGCGTGTGTGTGTGTGTGTTTGTCTGTGTGTGTGCTTGTGTCTTCAGTCAGACATTGCGAGTGTGCATTATAAACGTGGAGGAGTATGAGAAGCAGGAAAACTTCTTCATTGTGCTTGACGACCCCAAATGGCTAAAGCGAGGACTCTCTTGTGAGTGTGTAATTATTTCAGATTTCATTTTTAATGTTAAAGTGACTTCTCATGACTCTGTCACTTAAAAAAATTAGTATAAGATAACAGTTGTAGTCTGTTTTTCCTTTCTCATCTACACTAATAGAAAGCATTAGATCGCATCAATGTGCAAGATCAAGTATCAAAACAGTAACAACAACACACGCAGCTGAATGCTGCAAGTAACCAAACACGCAGGCGTTCACTACTGTCTCTGTTTCACTGCAGCACAGACGCTACAGCTAGTTATGAGTTACTGGTGTAATTATTTGTTCGTGTAACCTCATTGTGTCAAAAAGATGCAGAAATTGGATATTTGCATGCCAGTGGAGGGGAAAGAAGTAGTCGTGTATAAAATAATTTTTGTGGAAGTTCAGAAGGGAAATGAGTGTAAGGCTGTTTTATCACAGCATGAAAATATTGCTTGTACTCATTATCTGTCTTTGTTCACAGCACTGCTGCTAAACCAGGGTAAGATTGTTTGGGTGTGGTTTTGCATGTGATCTGTGCAGCATTTTAAAATAGCTGGCTATTATTTTGAAATTCCAAATCCTTGGCCCTAAATGTGACAGTGTGAAGTGGTCGTTTTACACTATCAGCAGAAATTTGCATTTCTTGGTTTGAGCTCAGTGAACGCCCAAGCTCTTGCTTCTTTTTACACTCACTTTAATACCTTACTGTCAATTTGTGAGTTTGTCTCAATGGGCATGAAGACGTCTGTAAAACGTCTTTAATATTTATTCCACGGGTTTGTGTTTTTATTAAAAAAATAGTGGCAGGGCCAGAGGATGAAACACTAAACGTGCTTGTGAAGAGGGCCAAACACTCGGGAAGTACAAGTAGAAAGACTGGAAAACCTGGCTAGCTTATGTGAGCACATTTCATTCAAGCAAGCAGAAACCATCTTTGGGCCAGGAAAAGCTTCAACTCTGTTGGGAATGCTTTCCACAAGGTTTAGGAGTGTGTTGATGGGTTTATGGGAATTTTTGACGATTCTTCCAGAAGCATATTTGTGAGGTCAGACATTGATATTAGACAAGTAGGCAGTTGACCTCAGGTTGAGGTCAGGACTTCCACACCAAACACTTCATCCATGTCTTTATGGACCTGGCTTTGTGCATTGGTGTGCAGTCATGTTGGAACAGGGAGAGGTCATCTCCAAACTATTCCCACAAAGCTGGGAGCATGGAATTGTCCAGAATGCCTTGTTATGCCGAAGCATGTTGTGGAAATTTTAAATAACCTGCAAACACCCCCAGTGAGCATTTTGAAGTGGTTTAATAACATATTGCAATATGGATATGTCACATTCCACAACTCTTACATGTTGGCCCATCTCACGGGTGGGGGGGGGCGGAGCTTTACCTTCAGCCCTATCCTTAAAACCTTCTCCCTCACAGAGAGAATTATGACCTTGTTTTCTGTTTGGCCGTCACCTCCCTTGAGCAGGATGTCCGTCTACAATGGATCCACTGTGAAGGCGTAATAAAAGTTGGGGTCCACTTGTGATAACATTCTACATGCATGCATACAACTGGTGACAGGACTGATCTTGCTATACTAAAGTGACAAAGCGATATTACTATTACTAATGTGATATGATTAAAACATATGATTAATACAAAAGAAATCTGCCACCAACCCCACGCCATAATCACCCCTCCACCAAACTTTACAGTTAGCACAAAGCATCAGACAAGTAATGTTCTCCTGGCAACCACCAAACCCAGACTTGCTAGATAGAGAAGCATGATTTGTCTCTCCAGAGAACATGTCTCCACTGCTCCAGAGTCCAGTGGCGGTGTGCTTTACACCACTGCGTCTGACGCTTTGCATTGCTCTGGGTGATGTACGGCTCTAATGCGGCTGCTCGGTCATGGAAACCCATTCCATGAAGCTCTCTACACACTGTTGTTGAGCTAATCTGAAGGCCACATGAAGTTTGGAGATCTGTAGCGATTGAATCTGCAGAGAGTTGATGACCTCTGTGCACTATGCACCTCAGCGATCTAAGTGTCCAAGTTTCTTTCTTAGCCAAGTTATAGATTCTTTTGAAATGCTGCTCACACACCTTTGAAATACGCCATACTTTGAAAGCATGTGCTAGTGTGCTATTTTTCTTCACCTTAGCCTCAACTGAGGTTAAGAGCACGTGTGTAAGATATCATTAAGGCTTGAATAGTGATCTCCTGTCTGCTCTCTCTCACAGTGAATCCCACCCCTGAGGAGGAACAGGCCAGGAGGATCTCTGAGATGGGAAAACCTATTCTTGGAGAGCACAGCAGGCTAGAGGTCATCATAGAGGAGTCCTGTGAGTTTAAGGTGTGTGTGGAGTGAGTGAGGGGTGTTTGTTTCTTATATTATGATGCTCATACAAGTGTTACACTGCAAGTAAAGTGGCAGTTACTGACATGAAGTTATGTTAAACACATGCAGCCTGAAGATTGACAAATTAAACCAGAACTTTACTTGCAAATTTGGACAAATTCCTTTAAAAACTTTAAATAAATGTGTAAGATTGTACAAGTATGTGGTTTTCTTCACTAACCTCCTGCTGCCTTGTTGTGCGTCAGAGTCCCAATGGAGTACTAGACCAGGTACAGTTTCTACTCACGCGCTGTTTGATACTCATCTGCTTCCAAACTATTTTATTTCATTCCATGTACCTTTATTTCCCATACATAGAAGGAATGTATGTGTACATTGTGTATTGTGTAAACACTGCTTGACTAAGTCCATCTCATTTGGTACTGTGTTTATACCCATCAGCCACTATATTAGGTATACCTGTATAATACCAGGTTCAAACCCCTTTTGCCTTCAAAAATACATTTATTCTTCATGGCAGAGATTTAGCACGATGCTGGACGCATTACTCAGTTTGGTCCATGTTAACATGACAGCATGACTCAGTTGCTGCAGATTTCTCAGTTTCAAATCTCTTGAAAGGTACTCTGCTGACTGTGGAGACCGTTTGAGTACATTGAACTCATCGTTATGTTTAGCAATCAAGTTTGAGATGATTAGAGCTGTGTGACAAGGCGCACTATCCTAACACTTGGGATTATAAAGGGATGAAAGTGTGCCAAGAAAAAATGGCTCATAATATTATATCATTACTGCAGAACTAAACTGTTAATACAGGGTAGGATGGATCCACCCTGCCAGATTCTGACCATCCAAATGTGGCAACAGAACTAATTAGACTGATTAGACCGGGCAACAATGTGAGTTGCTGCTGCTTTCCTATCCGCTTGAAACAGTCTAGCTTTTCTGCTCTGACTTCACCAGGGCAGTTTCACCCAGAGAACTGGCACTCATTGACCAGTCTTTCTCTGACCGTTCTCCTTAAACTCTAGTGTGAAGGAAAATCTCAGTGGATCAGCAGTTTCTCAAACAACCACACCACATTCAGAGTCACTTAAATCACTTTTCTTCCACATTCTGATGCTCTGTTTGAACTTCAGCAGGTTGTGTTGACTCTGCGTACATGCCTAAATGCTTTAAGCTGCTGTGTGATTGGCTGATTAGATATTTATGTTAAAGAGCAGTTGAACAGGTATACCTAATTAAGTGGCCAATATGTGTTCTTATTCTGAATTAGAGCAATGAATAGATCATTTAAATAGTATTTATTCTTTTTGGTGTCGGGGTGTGTGTTAAATAACAAAACAAGTTAAAATGAAAAGACATTTGAGACGTGGTTTGAAAAAAGTCTTGAAACTGTGTAATGTGAACCCATCTGTTGTGTATGCATCCATGTAAGCAATGATTGTTTCTGCTTGATTACCAACATATTTAATTTGTTGCAACAGAACACTGTGGACAAACTGCTCAAGGATACAAATCTGGCCGTGGTGATTGGTACGCGCTCATGGAAAGAGCAGTTCATCGGGGCGGTCACAGTCAGTGCAGGTCAGTGGCATCTTTGTATTTATTTATTGTTTTGCGTTTTTGTCATTTTTTTGGAACTTCACTTGTAAATTTCTGAAATTCAAGTTTGCCTGTGAATCCTTATGCATGAAATTTATTGCACTGCATGTAATTTTATTACAAGACTTTGTGAACGTTATAATTAAAAAATGAAGACTTGTACTTTTGAAACCAGGTATGGACACAATGTGGACTGGGAAGTGTGGTAATGTCTCTGTGTTGTAAATGGTAAATGGCCTGTATTTGTATAGCGCTTTACTGGTCCCTAAGGACCCCAAAGCGCTTTACACAACCAGTCACCCACTGGTGATGGGAGCTACATTGTAGCCACAGCCATCCTGGGGCGCACTGACAGAGGCGAGGCTGCCGGACACTGGCGCCACCGGGCCCTCTGACCACCACCAGTAGGCAACGGGTGAAGTGTCTTGCCCAAGGACACAACGACCGAGACTGTCGAACCGGCAACCTTCCGATTACAAGACGAACTCCCAACTCTTGGGCCACGATCGCCCCCAAACAGAACTCTAACTTCAACAATAAACTTTTGGTGGTTAAAACTGACTAGTGTACAGTAAACGTCACCTTGGCTCATGGATGTGAAAGATTTAAGATGCTTTAAATACTGATAATATTTTTTGATGTGTTGGGTCTTACAGGGTTAAAGCTTCATCTGATACTATGAAGCGGTCTGTGATTGGCCCAAAGTGTGATTGCACCATTTGTAGGTATTGACGTCTTCTCTTTTTTTTCGCCGTGTTTGATTTACTTTCTCTGTGTCTTTGTAAACAGGTGATGAGGATGAGGGAGAGGAGCAGCGAGTGCCCAACTGCTTCGACTATTTCATGCACATATTTTGTATCTTCTGGAAGATCCTGTTTGCTTGCGTCCCACCCACAGGGTACTGGAATGGCTGGGCGTGCTTCATAGTGTCAATCACTGTCATTGGTATTTTAACAGCCATTATCGGAGACCTAGCCTCCCATTTCGGGTGCACCGTCGGCCTGAGAGACACTGTCACTGCAGTGGTCTTTGTAGCACTGGGGACTTCTCTTCCTGGTTAGTGAGGTGTTCTTGTTGTCATAGTTGTTGTTGTAAACACTCTTGAATTGCAGAAGTTTGAATTAGGAAAGTGAATGTAAGAATGTACAGCTGATTAGCCTCATTCTCTAACTTGACTGTTTTTTTTTCCAGACACCTTTGCTAGTAAAGTTGCTGCTACGCAGGATCAGTACGCAGATGCGTCTGTGGGAAACGTGACAGGAAGTAACGCAGTTAATGTGTTTCTGGGCATAGGTGTGGCCTGGTCTGTGTCTGCCATATACTGGGAAGTCAAAGGGAAGGTTTTCCGTGTGGACCCAGGATCACTGGCCTTCTCTGTCACGCTTTTCACCATTTTTGCCTTCTTGTGTATGGGAGTGTTAATGCTTCGCCGAAGGCCGTCCATAGGTGGTGAACTAGGAGGCCCACGCGTCCCCAAAGTCCTTACCTCACTGCTGTTCTTTGGACTCTGGTTCCTCTACGTCCTCTTCTCTAGCCTGGAGGCCTATTGCCATATACAAGGCTTCTAAAAGAGCACAGCTGTGGAGAGTCATGCCTGCACAATAACACACACACACAAAACTCCCACTGATAAACAGTTGCCGTCATCATTTGACATCTGCTGCCACGGTTTAGAAACATACGTATACACACCACAGATTCAACTACGGAACATCCGCTGCCGGACTGTGAAATTATTGTGACAGCACTCCTTCATTTTCACCTCATGAAGTGCAGCGACTGTTTTTTAAGAAAGCAGAATAGATGTGAAGTCGCTGGATTTTGCTTGATACCTGGAGACTCGCATCCTGGATGCCCAGGATTTGGTCGTATGTCTCCCCACACCTGTAGAGTCTGGGTCAGAGCTTATTTTACAAGATGACTATTTCAGGCGTTTATATACAGTAAGCTGCTCAGATACATAACAGTTGGAAGAACACTACTTTGCTTCATATGTTTCTCTCGCAAAAAGAGAAACTTTGTTTGTTAGTTCATTGTTGTCAGTATTCATGAATCCAGGTGATTTGAAGGAAGACTGCAGGCCACTCAGTAGCAAGTGAGCTTTTTTGGCAGTCCACAGGAGAAGCAATAAGCTGCTGTTATGAAATATCTCCCACTGCTCAGTTGTGTGTCTGTGTTGCGTTAGGTGACATGAGGCACTGTTTGATGTTTAGCGCTCTGCACCTGCTTAGTTTGATCTCATTGTAGGCATTGATAATAGCAACACTACATGGAGCCAGTATTGAAATGTGAAACTGATAAAAAGTTACACGATGAATTTCTCATAAGCACCTTGTGTCTGCCATTTAGTTTGACTCCTTGAAAACAACGATTCATTCACCCCTGAAGTCTTATCTGTTTATTTATCAATGGTGTAATGTTATTGTATTTCTAATTTTATGAATTTGACTGTTATTGACAAAAGCACGTTGTAATTTATTGTAAGTTGTCATAATTACATTTAAATTTTAACTGCATGTGTCTCGATGAGGTTTGTCTTCAAGTCCACGTAAGTAAGCATGATGGTATGTCTTATTGGGGTTATATACTTACCTGTTCTGTGTTTAACAGATGCATTTTAAGTTTGTGCACCCAAAAAACATGGAAAGTGAGGTTAAAAAATATTTTTCTCTTAAAAGAAAGAAAAATCAGTACATAATATATAATTTAATATAATATAATAACATGCCGTGCAGGTCGGACCTCAATTAAAGCCTAAAAAATTCACTATCTGAGATTTTAAGCAGAGCAAGATGAGTTGCTGTTGCTGGGGAGCAACTGATAATACCTCTTATTGTAGAGAAAAGTCACTGATAGCATTAAATGGTATGTGAAGAGGAATGTCAGCGTATTTTGTTTCCTTTTTTCTTTGTTGATTGATTAGAGGGAAGGTTTGTTTTACACTATTGTTCTTTTTTTATTAAACATAGAAAAGAATGGATGATCCACTCACTGAAGAACGCCAATGTCCTTATTTATTGAACCTGTGAAACATGGGGGGGGTTAAATCACCTGCGATAGGTCACATGACCATGACACTAATATCCAGTGTAAACCACGTCTTATACAAGACAAAGAGTTGACAAATAATCGTCAAGTAATACATACAACCTTTATCTGACTCATTTTCCTCACTGCATCATTCACAAGTTACAACCTGTGATTCAAGACGGTGCAGAACACGTGAGTCAGTGCGAGTCACTTCTGACTGATGACTGCGATACTGGCGTGAGTTGTTAAGGATATCCTGAACTTTCCTGTTGGTAAGTGCTGCTTTTTTTGCTGCTGTTAGCCAGCAACGGTGAAACTTCCTTTGAAGTGGATCAAACGTGGGAAAGAATAACTCCCCAGGAAGAAGCATCTGGCAGGACTAGGCTCAGGGAGGGGACTCCATCTGCAGCGAGGGGTTTGGGGCGAGAAAAGACAGGAGAGATAAACACGTGAAAATGTGATCAAGCTGTTCAGAGGGAAAGTTTGATTTTTAGGACACTTGAGTACAACACTAGCCCAGTGGCTTAATGGTAGCTTATAACCAGCTGTTGTTGTTTAGCTGACTTGTTGTCAGCTGTCTTCAACTGCTGATAATAAGTGATAATTGTGATGTCGAGAATAAAACCATAGCCATATTTGTTGACGTTTTCATGTCTTAGAGCCCTGACTCCAGGAAGAGGTGATGTTTTATCCAGATCACGCTCTGTCTTTCCTTCACGTTTTCACTTCTTTGGTGAAGGGACTCTTTTTTTCAGATAATAAAGATATGGTCCTTCATATCTTAAATGTTAAAATTTTCTTCCACAGCATGCAAACGTGTGCAATTTCTTACTGGCCATATGTTCAGTATTTAGCCACATACAAAAAATATGATCAAAGTATTCAAAATGGGAGAGCAACATGGCCACAAATCAGCACCTGCTCCTATGTATTTATAATGAATGAACATATGTCTATATGAAAATGTTTCGAAACATATAGCCATGACTGATCGGCACCATCTACTAAGTTGGACAGCACATGCAACTCCACTTGTATGCACAGCAACCTTGTGTAGCGCAACATTCAGTCTGGTTGGTGTCTTGTATTGTCAAGCTCTTGAATTGTTCAGATCCGCTATAACACACATGCACTCAAGGAAAACTGCCCAAGGATACTTCAAAATGCAAACTGGAATACCCAAAGATTGATGCACCGACCTTCCAATTAGCAGACAACCTGCTGAACTGACCGTATACATGCATGAGGCTGTTTTGAGATGACTTCCAAGCTGCTATTAGCAATACTTAAATTAATCAGCACCCTGAGGAAACTGTTGTTGGGATTTGATAGTGGATTGCATGATATGTGTTTACTTTATTTATTTGAATATTTTACACTAAAGGAAATGTGTTTATCTTGTTACTGTATATCTTTATTTTTCTGTCTTGTAACTGTCCTAAACACTGGACTCCTGTTGAGAGTTACATTATTGCTGCAACAAAATCTTACTTGCGATGATCCATGGCAAGGGTTCTCATTGTGTAGCCTGCAGGCAAGGAACCACAGTAATGTTTTGTGCAGTCTGTGAGTGCCACGAGAACAGTGTGCAAAATTGTACATTTGATCCATAGCTCAACAACAGCCTCAAATATTTAATGCACATCCATTTGATGTGAGAAGTTTTAATTAATAGGTGAAACGTGCACATTTAAGCTGATTTGTTTCTCACATCTGTAACCAGATAAACATAAAAAAGACAGAAGAATAAATCATATTTTCTTGTGTGTCTGTGTGAGTGATATTATGAAATGACAAAAGTGGAAATAATATTTTCAAAGCAAATACAGAATGCCTGAGATTTTCATAGAATTATTTTCCAGGTCAGTAATAAGGACAAATCTACCATAAGCTGGTAGGTATTGGTACATAGAAAATTGCCAGAAATGAGCAAATAAGTGTTTAATCCTCAAAATTCCCCAGTGGAAACTGTACTTGGTGTTTCACACCCTGTTTGAATTCTACTAAAATCATGTGGTATTCAGCAGGCCCTAAAATTCTAATAAAACCTCAGACATAACAAGACATAATATATATCACTCATTATTCATTTGTCAAGAACTAAAGCAGAACAAAGAAGCATTTGGAAGTGCATCCTTGCTACTTTTATAAGAAGAAGAGAGTAAATAACACCTAAGTGCTGTTAATCAGATACACTTGATTAATCTTCATCAATAATCTTAGTTGCTGTTGCTGCCCATCAGTTTGGCAAGGGTTACATGGACAATTCGAAGTCCATCATTATTATTAAGATTATTCACAAGTGAAAATTATTTAAGAGAGTTGCCAATCTTCCCAGGACTGGACGTCTCATCAAATTCACCGCAGGGCCGTCCCATGGAGTCCTCAGTTACTATAATAACCCCCCAGTTAGCATTCTTTTATGTTAGCTTAAAACCTGTCTGACTTGCCTGGAATTATTTCAGAGCTTAGAGGCAAAATCCACATCCGTGTGTGTGTGTGTGTGTGTGTGTGTGTGTGTGTGTGT